TGTTACCACAGCAGGGCAACACTGAACAGGCAGTGCCTGCACCACTTGAGTTCCAGATGACAGCTGTGAGGGCTGAAGTGCTGCTCGCAGACTGTTAAACCACTCCAGGTTTGGGACTCCCTTCACCTTCAGCACCTTCTGTGCCTCTTGCAATAGGTTTTCAAGAAATGCATCAGCACAGACGGACCCTCTGAGCCCACACAACCCATTCATGTGGAAAAGACCTCCAAGATCACCAAGTCCAGCCTGCACACAACGTATTCATCATTTGATGCTGCTGGATGGCAACACAGCATAAGAAAATAACAAAAGAAAAGTCCAAGCTGAACTTTTTACACCTCCACAGACCCCTTTTTAATGTCAATTTGCACTGTGTACAGGAAAACCAAAAATAAACAAAAGGAACTTTAGCCAAACTCCCCTTCCTCCTCCAGCTTTATTGATAGTTTAAAATTACATTTTCTATGTTCTAGGACTTCAATTGCTTTTACCATCTTGCTTTAAAAACTGATTACAAGCAAATGAAACTCAGTTGTCTAAGTGATATAGTATACAAAAATAACATCTCGATTTCTGTGAAAATGCATTTATTTGCAACTCCTGAATAGCTCCAAATTGTGTATGCCATGAGCACTGATGTCTGGGTTTCAGATTGCCTTTGAAGTATTTGTTCAAAAGTTTCCTGTTACGTTCTGTATCTCCAGCGTGAACATTCACTGACTGAATTTCTGTTAACTTTTAAGTTTATTCCCGATTTCTCTCTCTCTCTCTCTCGTGGCCATTAACAGGCATGTGCATCTTGTTTTACTCCCACTCGGCTATGTGCTCTAGGTAGGGCCTGAAACAGACGTTACTTGGTGTTAACAGCTACTGAGGTCAGACAATCCAAGGCCATTGCAACAAAATTAAAGTTATGAGGAAGTTCAGACACTTCCAGGAATTTCTTTCCTCCTGCGTAGGATCCCTTCCCTGGAACCCAGAGAGGGTTTTGCTGGTCTGACTCCACTCTTCCCACTCATCAATCCCTGTTCACCAGTGGCACGGAAAGGGGGTTCTTGAACAAAGCATTATACATAACACCTCTACCAAACTAAACATAAACATTTTTGTAGTTAAATGCAGAAAGTTGATTTTTCCACCCCTTTCCTCCTTTTACACGGCAAGTAAAGCTCACTGGCCTGGGAGTAGCCTCTATCTGCCAACCGTTGGCCAGTGAAGAGGATTCAGAGAAAAATAATACAACCATCAATCAGAAAAAGGAGGGGCGACAAAGGAAAATCATTAGGCTGTGGCTTCAATCGTGCATTCCCGCGCAAGGTGCCCTGACTCGCCGCAGCGGTAGCAGTTGACTTCGCTGGTCTTGCTGCAGTTGATGGCTACGTGGCCAGTCTCACCACACCTGTGGAAAAAAGCAAACAATTTGGTCAAAACCACCCAGAAGAGCTGTGGGGGGAAAAAGCACTCCTACTCTGTCAAGTACATGATCTGCTTAAGTTTTATGCAACATTTGTTTCACATTCAAGACTTCTGACTCAGTGCTCCAGAGATCTTTGACAGGACACAAGTTTCGGTCTTCACAAGGGGCAGGAGCTGTTCCCCAAGTGACCAAGTCCCATTAATCACTGCATATGCCACAACCACCACACATCAAATGTACATACAAGGGTTTTTTTTGATAATTTTTTTTTAAACTGTGTGTCAGGTTTTGCTGCTCTGATGCTTCTGTCTGCGCTTTAGCCTTGTTTTGCAAGTAATGAGCATTAACTCAAATACCCCACAGTCTCTCTCTCTCCTTCCTTCACAGGAGGGGACCTTGGTGGGGGTGAAAGACGCTGCACTGAGGAACTTGGGTTTCTGCTATCGGCCCGCGTTCAAAAACCAGACAGCACTTTGAAGCTGGTGCTGCAAACTGATTTAACGTCCAGTTCTATGTGTGGTTCCTCTAACGGAGATGCCTTAAGGACACTCCTGCTGGGTCTGGCTGTGCCGGTCAGCTGATGTGCCCAGCTGCACTTTGTTAGTTACAGCCTAAGACAGAGAGACCCCGCTCTCGTCTGGGTCTGTGCTTTGTGCTTCCCTCAGCAAAAAGCTGCGGCCTTTCCTGCTGCTCAGCTGGAGCGACTGAACATCTGCTTTGCTCTGGCCACCCAGAGGGGGCATAACTGCATCTACCACTTGACTTTGCTGAAAGGTATTTAGGTCTTAGTTTGGAACACCAGTAGGTAACTATTTGAAAGAAACAACTACCTGCTCCAAGCTTAGGCTTCATTTGCTAGCCAAAATTAGACACAGAACCCATCTGTCACCTCAGACACATTCTGCAGCTGTCCCTTGTCCGTTCTCACCTATAGCATTTCACTTTGGTGCAGTCTTTTTGGATGTGTCCAAACTCCCCACAAGAGTAGCACTTCTGCTCATCTGCGTGGTCACAGTCGCGAGCCAGGTGGCCAGGCTTGCCACAGTTGTAGCAGCACTGCTCCCTCTCCCTCTTCGGCTCCTTGCAGTCCTTCGCAATGTGGCCACCTCTGCCGCAGTTATAGCAGGCTTCCACAATAAGAAAAACATACCAGACAAGACTATAAAACCTTGGTAGCGTGAGGTGTAGCGTGCTTCTCGGGAAGGACACGTACAGCTCATTTCCAGTGAATTACGATCAGGGTATTGCATCCTTCCCTTCAACCGCACTTCTCTTGTCCGTGCAACTGAAGGGGTAGAATATTGAGTGATACTTACCATCCTCCTGGAGATCACAGTCCTTGGCGAGATGGCCAGACTCACCACAGCGGTAACAGATGTCCGGGAGAGATGAAGACATGAACTGGAAGCCTGCTTAAAATGGATAACAAGAGGGGAAAAAAAGGCTCAACGATTGAGTTCAGAATACTCTTAAGAGTTAACCAAGGACACTGCCAGCTGAACTGAAAAGCTAACGTCACCCTCCGAGGCCTCTGGCAGAATTCTCATGCAGAGGTAAGAACCAGCCAGTTTGTGTCCCAACTCCTTCAGACCAACAAAGCCAGTTCTGCACACTATTCAGAGAGTCAGCTAAAGATCTTGCTGCACAAATACACTGAGAACCCCAGCAATCAATCACCTCTGCCACGGCTTCTCATCCCACGGCCACGGCCAATCCCAGTGGGGCACTCCCGAGCCCAGTGGCCGGTGCGTCCGCACTTGAAGCACTCGTTGCTGCTCATGGCTGCAGGTTACCTTTAGGAGGAAGAAAGACAACAGGTTTAGAACGCCTGCCCCTCTCCCATCCAAAGGCTACCTTAAAACAGGAGATGCAGAGGTTCCCACGCCCCTGGCAAAGGCAGTGACAATCCAGCCAGACATCTGGCTAACCCGGTACCTTCCTGCACACAAGTATCAGATTAAGACGATTAGAACCACCGCAGAAGCCAAGTTTGTCTCTGCTTTGCCTGGAGTTAGGCAGCTTTGAACAGCCAAAGAAACAGCACACTACAGATCTTTTCCTTTTTTGTAGCCAATCTTCACTTCAAAAACTTAGAAAATGCTTAAGAGTTGGGGAAGAAAAAGAAGGTGACCCCATCAACTATTGCCTTACCAGCCTTACTGCTGTTGTCTCTTTCATTAGCGCACCCTCCTTCTTACTCCTCAGGGGTAAAACTCGGAAGCTGGATACTTACCTTTACCATTTCTTCCTGGCAGTTCTTACAAGTTCTCTGGCTGGCAGCTACTACATTTATTGACTAACACAGCTTCACTCTGGAAGCTAATCGTAAGACCCGGCAATAATAAAGCTAAAGCCTTAAAAAGCATACTAGCTTAACACTGGAAGACTTCAGTTCTTTGATAACCTAGGTAGCAGTTCAACTCTGAAAAACAAGAATTACAGCTTCAACGTATGAACGTACAGCTCTGGATGCGTACTTCACTCCCAGGTTTACACGACAGAAAATGTTTAAGACAGTTGGTTTCCCTAAGAGACGCCAGACGCTTGCCAGATAACCCGAAGGCCAACTTGGAAAACATCCTCAGAATGCCAGGGAACCATCAGATGGGCACGCCTGCCCGAGACAACCCAAACTGCTCCTTTTGCCCATATTGGGGCACAAAGGCACGCATCTCACTGAGCAGGAACTACCGCAGCAGGGCTTGGGATGGAGCAGGTTAGACCGCGGTCACGGCACCGTAACTCCCCTGAGCTGTGCAACAGTTACACAAGACTTGCAGAAGTAAAAGAACGAGGAAGTTAAACATTTAAATTGGAGTCTTTTCTAAAGTGTGACTGAAGACAAGGTTGAAGTATGCTAGCTTAAAAATACCCAGAGCAAACTTTGTTTCAACGAAAGCTCATGAAGTTTAAATACTTCACCTGCTCTCGCTCAGTTCACTATTCTTACCCCACCAGAAGCAGGATCATCATCTGGTGTGTTTAGCAGTTTACCTGATCCCCCACCAAGACAATCCTCCTGCAGCCCCACAACCTCTTTACACATTACAGAACGCCTCTCCTCCCTCCAAACGAGCCAGTATTCCAACTAGCAGGAACATCCATGAGTGGGGTCTTGAAGAAAACCACTACAGAAGCCAGAAGAACAACACGTGACCTCCCCAAGGAACCGGAATTAGCATTCTGACATTTAGCTCTCAAATGGAGAGTGTGTCTCTAAACATGAATTTTTACTCAGACTTATTTTTAAAGTGCTCCAATGTCAAACAAATTTACTGCGACATTTTAGCCATGCCTCCCTCAAAACAGTGCCCCTCTCTCCAAACATCTCCAGCACAAAAGTGACCATCCCTCCTTCCAACCACAGCAGACGTCTGGAAATTCAAAGTACAAGAGATATAAACTTCAACATGCTACTTCTGTAATCCCTCATCTATGTTCCAGCTGGACCAGATGATAGTATCTGCTCTTAAAATGAAGTTCTGCAATGAGAGGATGCAAGATCTCAAACAGATGTTAACAGGAATAAAACAACTGGCTGGCTGAGCACTTGAGAGATACACTTGGATTTTACACATGACCCAGTCTGCTTCCTCTCAGCGTTCAAGATTTCAAACTATCTTACCAGGACGCCCAAGGGTGAGGAGTTGTCGACGATGGTGGCAGCAGCTGGCACTTGGTGCGCTGTTGTTTATGGCTGTTGTCATAGCAACCATGTTGACAGAACAGAAAAAACACCAGCGAAGCCAAGGCAGGAGCTGGGCTCAGGCACAACAGTTACCGCTGCTTTTAATCTCAAGAGGGACAAGACGAGGTCTTCGAATTACATACTACAACATACTCTTCACTCAACCTGCAACTCTCTTACAACAGCACCGTAAAAGCTGTTTAGAAGAGCAAAGCAGTAAGGCAGCAGCTGCTGACAGAACTACAACACACCTTTACAGACTCTTAACAACTCCAACTTGAGATCACACAAAGCGACAGGACTGAATGCAGTCAGCAGTCACCCGTGTGAAAAAACCTAACGATGCCAGTCTGGTAAAAGACAAATGTTTAACAGGTGAGCTACATCGGCTTCAGATATACAGTGGAGAAGGCTTTACATCAAGATTAACTGGCGAGCCTCTAGTCTGCCAGTCAGGGTCAGGATATGCATGAAGGACAAGACCTCACTACTCACTGCCCCAAAGGAATCTGAAAAGAGAAGTTTTATATCTGATTCAAAGTTGCTTCCTTTTTAACCGGTCCCTCAAGAGGAAAACCTCAAGTTTCTTTTCCTCTGGTGTATGTATAAGAGCCTGGCAGGGTAAGACCAGGCAAACTGCATAAGAAATCTGAAGTTAACAACAGTCCCTGCACCTTCAGGCCAATTGGAGATTCATTTAAAGCCTCTATCTTCAGAGGCCCCTTTTTCCCCTGAACTCAGATACCTGAAGGCTACAACTGCCACAGAAGAACAATTGCAAAGCTGCTCCATCTTCAGATACCTTGAGTACACTACGGAAGAACCAAACAGTTTGCCTGGAATTTCTCTTCACCAGTACTTTAATATTTAACTTTTGCATTCTGCCTGTAAAGGATCTGAAACTGAATACAATTCACCAGCTGGAGGAGGATGTAGCTGACTAGTTTTACTTGCCCCACATGCTAAGGAGCCTCACACAGGACAGAACTCCCCACAGGTGCAGACTGTTTTAAAAAACAGTATGGGGATTTAGCTTTCAGATAAACCAACAGCCACCTTCAAAGAACAACATCCAGAAAAGGTTAGTTCAGAAGACAAGTCCTTAAATGGACACCTCGGAGCAGTCTGAACACCACCGCATTTTTCAGTTACTTCCAAGACCAAAAAACAAGAAAAATGTACAGCAAAAACCACCCAAGTTCAAGTTCTCCTCTCTTAGCCAATATGGCTCCGTTTGTCACCCCAGGCAAGGTTCCAGCAGTTCTGTATCTCTCAAGGCCACCATAAGTAAGCCTCCTGCAAGAAAGCTCCTTGTTTGAATCTTCTTGGAAACCTCTCCCTCAGACATATTTATCAGTGTTTTCTGCAGCTCAAATGTGTTACACAAAGCAGCTTCTCCCCTGCCTTTATATCCCAGAACTAGATTTTTTTTTTTACCTCACCAGGACAGGAAAAGTAGTAATGGAAAACAAATTACAACTTTGGCCTCATCTCGTACTTCTGAGCCAGGTCGAATTCTGCAAGATCATACTGAGCCACTGCCTCAGCCCAAACTCCAAATAGGAAGACAGACAAGCCTAGCTGCCTCAAACCTGACCTTTCTATTTCTGCTCAAGAGAGAAGGTAGTCATTTTTCTGAACTCCTTCTCCAGAGCTCCAAAAACGTAGTATGAGGCTGAAACAGATCTCCTTGCAGCTACTCAGCAAAACAACTTTAAGAATGAATTTTAGACTTTGTTCTGCATTATCGTCCTCCTGATGAAGATCGTGGGCAGGGAACAGCTCAAAGATCTGACCCAGAGGTGCCACCACTGCAGTTTCCTGGGTCACATCCAAAGCTTGAGTGCAACTTCAGCACCAAATTTCTATGATTCTTCTACCCATACAAACTTCCAAGTGGAAGATTGTGTCTTTCTGTGGCTTTACCCTTGACACATATTCCACTTTTAAAACAGGAGAGGTGCTACTGATTTCCAGACTTCACGCATGTGAGGTCTGGTTTAGGAGCCCATCTAAATACAGAACCATCACTGAGCTCCACAGCAATTAATGCTCCTTATTTTATGGCTTTTGAACTTAGATGCCCTCTGAGGAAGTTTGTTTTAACAAACTGAAGTATATCTAGTTTGGGCTTCTCGCAGCAGAAAGGAAGCTGAACTTCACCTCTAATATTATTCACAATTCTTCAGGATACTCGCAGTTCCTGAGAATTCAACAGCCCAATTATCTCCACCATACTCACCAGGTGCTGCTTTTGATCTACAAGCATCCCTTCCATTCAACATTAATAGGACTTCAGTGTTTCAATCAAAGGACTGACTTGATAAAACACCACTGCTGGTGCCAGCAGACGTCAGGGCTCTTTGGAAAGCCAGCTACACCAAAGTGGCAAACATGGAGAAAACAGCAGTTTCTTTCCAGGCTGTTGGTGACCAACCTACACCACCAAACCTGGATTTGCTGAACCAGCCCTGAGCTGGCCTGAGCGTGGTGAAACCCTTCTGTAACAGGAAGCATCGCTTTGCTATCCTGCAAGGGATGGAAAGGCAGAAAGGGCTGCTAACAGAAGTGCCAGCATTGAGCTTCAAAAGAGAAGTAAAAATATTACTCATTTAAAGAGAAATGCCACCCCCGAGTACTGGTTTCCCTAGAAGCGTGTTTTGAGAATTCTTCAGCACTGGACTTGTGGTCAGGAAGACAAGTTATCCCGAGTTCCTGTCAGCAAAGCTACTAAGCACTCTGCTGGCTGAAATTCTGCAATCTAAAAGCACGCTACAGAGAGTTGGTCATGTTCCATTGCTGGCCTTCATCCTCACTAGAAAAACATACACCATTACGTATTCTGACCAGCAGGTAATGATACTGCAATTCGCAAAAGAAAGAGTTTGAAACTTCACAAAAACCTGCAGAAGTGAAACACACTCCATTTGGGTCCCCTCAATCTACTCCACGGCAAAGCTGGTCCAAGAATGCTGAACCTTAACTAAAACCCAAGAACTCAGACTCCTACTGAGGGGTGAGAGGCCAGGTCAAAGAGACACCCTCACTTCAGTTAGATTGGCCATTCTTGGCTAGCTTTGTTGACACACATCGGGAGAG